ATTAACTTAGAGCATGTTTGGCTAGGTTTAAAATTCAATTAAAATTGAAAATATAACCGTTATTGGGTCTCACTCGTCTAATAAAAGTCAACAATAACGGCTAGTTTTTCAATTTTAATCCAATTTTAATATCTACCAAACAAGCTCTGAATGGCTTTCCAAGAGCATTAGGGATGGAAAAACAAAGCAAATTTTATTTAATAGAAATAAAATAAAAATGATACTGGGGTGAGTTTGTTCTTTTGAATCATCAACTGATCAGTATGGATTTTTTTTCTTATTATTAATATAATTGAATCTAAATGCTAAACACCACTCACACCATATTTGCACATCATTTAATTATAATATCCACTCAGAATCCTGATTCCATGCCACAAAAGGAAAGGACTGTCCATTCAAAATTTTAAATTTCATCCCAAGTATTAAAACATAAAACTCCATTCACCAATACTTCAAATTTTGATGCACATTTATTCACTATCCTATGCCTAAACAATGACACTTAAATGCGGTACCTCACAAGTGGATCTTTAAGAAAAAGACGCTCATGGTAGACTCTCCATGCATAATCCTCGAAACAAAATGACTGGAAAAGCCTCTCTTCTCCTGCATCCTCGGAACAATGGCCATCATCTTCATTTTCTTGCTCCTCAATACCATTAATAGCTAACTTCGGAATAAGGGGAGAGACTGTGCTGTCGATGGGGAGGGTAATTAGCAGAGACATTGAACTTACGTCATCTCCAGATACAGGCAACGCTCTTCCTCTCACTTTCTTGAACTTTCCGTTGCTCCAAACCTGTCAAATATTTAATACCTCTCAATTTCTACAGAATAAGGAATTTTGATAGCGGACACATCAGATTGATAATTTTCTTGAACTTTCCGTTGCTCCAAACCTGTCAAATATTTAATACCTCTCAATTTCTACTGATTAATGATTTTTGATAGCGTACACATCAGATTGATAAAATATCTTTAATGAGAGCATGTTTATTCTCCAATGTAGACATAATTCTGGAACATGTTTAGTCCACAATGAATCCTTTCACATTGCATGCAAGTAGCCCTCCCGTTGAAGTTTAGTATTACATGATTTGAGGCGATGAGCATATTCTTAAAGACCGAATAGTGTATTATTGAACATGTATAGAAGAAAAATGTACGCTTAAAATAACTTGTTGAGCTTAAAATAAATGTGAAAAAAATCCTTGCTCACAATTAGCAAAAAAGTACACAATAGCTGATGACCATGACCTTCTCCACACCTTTATGGAGATTTTAAATAGAAGTAATGAGCTCACATGTTGCGAGAACTGAGATTAAAGAAAGATATTGGCTAATAGTATAGTTAACTGAAAAGGCAGAAGGAATTAATTCAAGGAAGGGGATATCTGTATGCTATATCCTGTCACAGCAAACAGATAAATCCATAACCGGATATTGTCCTCCAAAAGATGCGTCGATTTATGATTGCAAATCCAACAGATTTTTCATAATTTTTCTCCCAGGAGACGTACTTTTCTAGATAAAACCATGTAAAATTGGCTCGCTATATAGTACATTGGGCCTAGGCGGCAAGAGTAGGTAACTTCGGGAGGTATTTATAATCTCTTATAAGGTTATCAAAAACAATTACATCATTTATATATACATATGGAAAAGTGATTCATAATTTACAGCATAAATATAAAGTTTCTCCAACACCATTCCTCCACCTGAACACGAGGAACAGAAATGCAAATTGTACGTAAGCTACTTGGAATTTGAAACATAGATGTGCAGAACCTTCAAGAAATTTTTAGCCTATGTTTGGCTATAAGCGGTATATAATCCACACATTTCAAGAAACTCACAAGTAATATCCACCACTTATATCTATTTGTTTATATTATCACAATGAGCAATGGCCGGAGTTCAAATTTTGCAACTTATTATCCAAGTAACCTCATAACTGACAGTTGCTCGTGCACAATAATTTGTTTTGGTCCTAACCGTAACACACACATATGGTTGTTTCTTGGTAGACCAATAAATGAGATTATCTGTGAAGCAAATCCACCAATTTGAATGCAAATAAAAAGAACATTGAGAAATCATGGTTGGAATAGTTGCACTCCCTATCACGTGTCCCAAGGATAACAAAGAACGGTTCAACATTTGAAGAGAACTTGACTCAAAGCATGTAGAGACAGGTAGGAACATTTTGTGTGGATTACAATTAGAAATAATATACTCAATATGTAGGGTTAAAATATAATATTTCTTAATTTCATCCAACGATTTCTAGTAAATTTCCTCGTGTACGAACTCTTTTGAGCTATTAAATAATTTATTACTGACCTGAGCTATGTCTCCTAGAGTAACCAGCACAGAGTCCACTTGGGGCGAGACAAGGATCCAACCCGAATCCGACAACAATGAGTATTTCTGACACCTTATTTGATAATGCAATCCGATTACATTTGGATACATCCGACTTGGATTGGGCCCATCAGATATCCACATTAGAGAACAGACCCGAGATGGATCATCTCGGGCCGGATTTTCAATCCCGGCGGCAACAGCTAATTCTTCCATCACTTTCAACCCCAGCTTCTCCATTTCGCTTGTAAACTCACGTAGAGAAGCCAAGTCCAAATTCGACTCGGCTGTTGACTCGGTCGAGCATGACGAGTCGAGGCAGAAAGACTCGCCACCATTGGTCGTGGTGGTGTCGTCATCGTCATCGTCGTTGGGTGGGTTAAAGCCGAGTGGCCAGTTATTGGGGAAGAGAAGGCGCTTTTCGTGACTAGGGAGGTCGAAGAGAGACATAGATGTTGATTCCGCAGCCGGAGGGAGGTGTGAGGGGATGAGGTGGTGGATGAGCTGAAAGAAGCCTTGTTCTTGGGAGGCAGAGAGTAAGGAAGAGCGGAGACTTGTGGTGGAGTCGGAGAGGGAGATAACTGGAGGAGTGATGATGGAGGTGGTGGTGGAGGAGAGTGGAGAGGAGCGGCCGCGGGTAGGGAGAGAGAGGGAAAGTTTACAAGGAATGCGAAGAAGGAGACGAGAGATGGCATCTTCGGTGGCGTCTGAGGGAAGGGTGGATTGGGTAGGAGCGGCCGCGGGTTGGGAGAGATAGGGAAAGTTTACAAGGAAGGCGATGAAGGAGACGAGAGATGGCATCTTCGGTGGCGTCTGAGGGAAGGTTGGATTGGGTCGAGGGAGTTGGGGGTGGCGCCGCGGTTGCGCCATCATGGATTGATAGGTGGTGGTGGGGCTTTTGATCAGCAGAGGACGCCATGTCGTGCACGTTAAATTTAAAGATGAATGTGAACTAACACTAGTAACCCGTAAGTGTAACCATTATATAACAGGTGTAGAATTTTTAAGGCCTGTTTGGTACGCATTATTTTTTCATTCTCATTCTTCTACTCACTTTCAACCACACATTCTTCAATAAAATAATATTTTCCATCACATCAATAATTTTTCCTTTATTTTTAACCACACATTCTCCATCAATCTACTATTCAATAATACATTCTTTCAAAAGAATATGTCCCCAACACACATTTAATATTGAAATTAATTTACATTTTCAGTAAAATCCACTCACCTCTAATGGTTGATTTATATTTCTTTCATTTGGTTATCTTTTGTTTGATTACTTGGGGATGCCATAGTAGTTGTTTTTCCATTGTAACTTCATTGTTGCTTCATCTGGACATGCAAGGAGTGTTTATATATGGTTTTTGATCTATAGAATTCATTTTAACGATAAAAATAAAATAAAAATACGATTTAAAATGTTCCTAAAATATGGTTTTAAACCTTGCTTAATATATATGAAAGCATTACATTTCTTACTCGTGAAAAAACCACTAAAATTTTGATTCTTCAAATTGAATAATAAAAATAATATTTAGCGGATGTTGCATAAGGTATAGTGCTACTTGTTTGAATTTAATTTAGAATTGTTTTTAGTTTAAGACAAAGCACGTGCAATGAATTATGTCCTTATGTTTATTTATTTAATTATTAGAACGGACCGATATTTAATTAATTCAACAAAAACAAAAAAATCTTGTCCTGTCTGGAAATTGTTTTTAGAATTATTCTACTCTACCAGATTTTGGTTCACAGATTTTGTACAGACTATCTCACATGAAGTAGGTCCCGAGGACCTAACTCATTAAAAAAACCCCCAAAAATGTTAAAACACCCACCCACCCTATCTCACATGGCTGTGCCAGATCTTTTACAGACCTGGCACAGCAGCACAACTCTTGTTTTTAATTAAACAAGAATCTTTAAAAAGAAGCGTAACTGCGACAAAATTAAGCACCCGTACATATCGGATTTCTTGTTTCAATATTTTAATTGGAGTGGCAGGCAGGCAGGCTGCTCCCATGCTATCCGGAGTGAGTTTGTGCCTCTTGTACCCTTTCATGTTTTTCTGCAATTTAATTATGGGCTAATGGCAATAGAGGAAACATCAGTACTGATTGAATTATATGGTAAAATCAACATTTCAAAAAAAAAATAAAAAATTGGAGTGGGGCCCATTTTTTTGGACAAAAATAATTTCTCAAATTGAAATCAAGTCAAGAAAAGACTAACAAAACAAAATGAGAGATGCTTAGTGTACAGAAAAAATATATGCAGACAACCTACATATTACACACAAGGAGTGGGGGCCCATTTTTTTGAGAAATGCTATTCATCCCCAGTCTATGTGGCGTTAATGTGACATTAAATGATAGGTGAAATTAAATAAGTCGTTTAATTTCACCTATCATTTAACCAATCATTTACATCCACATAGACTGGGGATGCATCTCCACTGGGGATGAATAGCATTTTTTTGGACAATATTTAATTCACATAGGAC